AAGGCATTTATTCGGTTTCGCATCGGGGCCTTAATTGGAATAGGGTGTTACAGGGCTTCATTGGGATTTAGAGAATGCTCAGTTTTATTGTTTTTATTTGTTTTCATATGTTTGCCATTTGCATCTAAGAATTGGAACACAGTTTGGGGTTATACTATAGTACCGCCGTATATCATAAGGGACCAGGGTTTTCTTTGCAACAGGGAGTTTCTACCTTTCAACCTTCACCCCTAACTTGGGTTTTGCAGGATTCGTAGGGGCTTGACATCCGTGGCATTAGTGGCCGTGGAAGAGGTTATGACATGTTCTATCTGGCCGGTGATGCACTTGAAAGGTGGGTGCCGTGTGTATACAAGCATATTTCATGTCTAAATAGAATATAGCCTTCTGATAGCCTACCCGGCCTATTCCTAAATTGGCCCTAAACTGCCCTAAACGCTAGGCTAGACCTCCAAAACCCCCACCTTCAACCGATTTCTACCATGCCCCGGTCCTGAAAGAAGGGAGCCCAGCCACAGAGCTTCCGTGTAGCACGATTCGAGTCGATAAGTTTGGGGCTTACATTTCAGGGTTTCAAGCCAAGGCACATTAACTGGAACTCTAAAGTCTAAGAACTGAAGTTATCTGGACATCGGTGTGGATCTAAGTAGGAAGCGGCACGAATCATGTGGCAAGTCCGAGTTTGGGAGCATCGCCGGCATGATGTGTAGACCCAGGGACATCAACAACTACATGCAACGTGAGAAACAATGCAACATCAACTGAAGCCATAGCATTCACATGAAAGCAGAGAACAACAGACATGTAAATATTGAAGTTCCATGAGACGGTGTAAGTTTTTGAACACAATTCCGGCACACGTTTTTTTCCAACAGTATCAGAAGCCTCAAAGTTGTGGAAATTGGGACATTCCTTCTCGGCAGTGTTTCACTTGATCCGACTGCGCACCAATAACCTCGCCTGGCATGTCCGAGTGTCAGCGCCGAAACACAGCCACAAAGGCTGAAGATTTTTCTGATATGTTGACCCTAGACGACGCGCTCCCAGCTCGCGCCCTGGACGTTTTGCCCCAAGAGTCCACATATTCAAAGTCCGCGATCGAAGTTTCAAACCTTAACGTGAGCCTGTTTGCGAGTAGAAGTAAAGCCAAATAGACTTCGAATGCAAGCAGCGAAGATTCAGTAGGAGTTGGCAAAATCGAAGCCACATTGAAATGAGGATTGCTAAGAACGTGGGCACGACTGGCACAACATGTGACAACAGATGAAGCCAAATGACAACGAGCGAGCAATCATTCCATTCAGGTGAAACAAAGTTCACACAGAGCAAGAACTGGTTCAAAGTAGTTGAAATGGAAGTTGGACGGACTGAAAACTCATGCTAAATCAGCTCGGCATGGATTGCAGCTAGGCATGGGCAAGTTGGAATCAAAATCTATCGAAGCCAACTAGAAGTAAACCAATGATGAATGAAAGGTCAGTCAAGCCTTGTTTGTAGTCGTATCAGTTGAAGCCCCACTGCTTAGATCGCATCCCCCGGGCCCCTAACCTATGAACTGGACGTGCCAGCCAAGCTTAACCCCAATCGCCAGCAGGCGAGATGATGACACGGCGATCGGGCTGGGAAGGGTTTAGGGTTTGGGGTTTAGGGTTTAGGGTTTAAGCGGGTTAGGGTTTAGGGTTTAGGGGACAAGAGTTTAGAAGGCTCTAGGACTGTAGGGCTTTAGGGATTGGTGTGCAGGGCTTGTGTCAGGATAAGGGGTTTGCACTTGATCTGGATTTGGTGTCAGGAATATCGCGGCTTTCGTTCGCAGTCCTTGTCATCGAATGCACATATATGTGCTGTCGGGGTATCATTGGCAACAGGGTCAAGGTCCCCCTAAACCCTTAACCCCTAAACCCTAAACCCCTAAACCCCAAAGCTCAAAAGTATCGACCTTCCTTACTGTTTTTCGGCTGTTTTTGGCGAGGCTGGCTTGGCAACGTGGAAGCTTCGAGTTTTGTGTTTCTTCTTAGCAGGACCGCAAGAAGAGGGTTTAGGGTTTAGGGACTTAGGGTTTAGGGGCTTAGGGGCTTAGGGTTTAGGGGTCAGGGTTTAGAGATTTAGGGTTTACAGGGTTTAGGGGTTGGGGGCTTAGGGCAGGTCTCACTTCTCTTACCTTACCGCACTGCCTTGCTGTCAAAAGAAGGGCCAGAAGATGTCTTCAGCACCAGTGTTCGCAGACCATGGCCTCATCGCACTGGAGTCATTTCATAGTTTGCATGGTACAGTATGAGAACTATCCCGGATCCCTAATCCCTAAACCCCAGACCCTAGTTCTTCAGTCTGTCGAAAGAATCTCAAGAGCCTCGATAGCCACAGGTGTTTGTCCCAAGCTTCAAGGTCGTTCCATTTAATCGCTAGGCCCGGTAGACGGTCAGGACAAAACCCGCGGGAGTTGTAATGCGTGACTTGCAGCCCACTTCGGCACGCTCAAGCGGATCCGTTTTCTTTGGGACTTGCGTCTGGTTTAGCCTTTTTGGATGGTTTGAACCAGATCTTGTGTCAATCAGGTTGTGCCCCATAGGAAGAAGCAGGGACAGACTGGTCCGGACTGGTCCGTCTTCGCTGCGTACCAGTAGAAGTCTTCGCTATTGACATTATTTCAGAGAGTTACTGGATCAATCATGCAAGATAGTGTGCGAACCATGAGGATACTACTACTGTGCATGCGAATGCCAGCAGCTTCCGGCAGATTTTTGAGCAGGGGTTGTTTCTGCTGAGCTCTGTCAGCTTAGAGGAAATTTGTTTTTCTCTTCCTTGCAAACAAGAACAATCGACTTGGGGTTGCCTTGACCTCTTTGGCACAAGACTTCAGCTTGCGATAACTTGCCCCTTGGAGCTCCCGGCCGTCCCTTACCCACCAGCTTCACGATGCTGATGGCACCAGGCGGACCAGTCCTTGCAGCACCAAAGGTTCACCCAGAGAACAGCTCAAGTTCCAGCAGTGATGACGAGAATAAAAAGTCCCCCACGCCGACCAGGACTTGCTGCTTTTGGGTCCGCATGTGCCCGCCTATCAAGTACATCCTTGCCTTCTTCAAGTGGCTCTTTCTTTCCAAGGCTGAATACGAAGTTCTCAAACAGGCCAAAGATCTCTACAAGACGGTGAATGTTGAGACGGGATGTTGTTCCGACTTCCCGTACAAGCACTTGTCCAAGATGGAGAGAATGTACCTGCACCGTATTCTAAAAGACCAAGCAAGATGGGGCAGTGAGAGGAAGTTCATCAAAACATTCCAAGATCATATAGTGGCCATGCAGATGGAGGAAAGTGACGGTGGCGAGAAGGTCACAGAAGGAGAGTTCTGCAATGCCGTTCTCTATGCTGTCATCGAGTACATGAAGAAGATCGTTAAGAAGATGAGCAAGGAGATCAAGAAGGAGTACAAGAGAGATGAAAAGATGGCTTTAGCTCCATAGCTAAGCTTTCAAGCCCTGGAGTCAGATTATGTTTGTAGTTGAACTGCAGCGAGCATGGCTTATTGCCAACTGAAGCACGCAGATATGCGTCCTGCAGGCGACTGCCGTTTTTCCCCCTATTGGGCAAGCTTTCCTTGACATTGCGTTGAAGACACCATTCCAACTACCTGTTGAGACTTAGATTGTCACGAACATGGAAAGCAGGGGTCATTTTACTAACTGTTACATGTTCTTAAGGTTATTACGTCTCAACGCTGAGCTGTTTCTACTTGAAGAGTAGACTTGTGCAACAAGCGACGCAACAACAGAAGATCAGATGACCGAACAAAAAGAAGTGTCAATCAATGCTTGTGGTGCGTTTGTACTGTACCTGCAGAGCACATATCGGTTTGTGAAGCCCGGCAATCTCGATCCTTGGCTGCCGTCTTAGCAGCTTCGTGAGCTGTACATTGTACATGCAGGAGTGCTGAACTGTGGTTCGGGTGCCGCTTTGTTCGTCTGCGAAGCGGTGCAGTGGCCCCAAGAAGATCAATCTTCTGTATTGCGGCAACAACATCAAGAGCAATAATCTTCTCATTAGCAGCAAGGCTACCTAATCGGATTGATGCTGAATGTCCCTAGAAAGCGAATAGAATCATCAAGCAGGAACCATAGCAGGCACCCCTACAGCAACACCCCAGACCACGGCCCCACGTCTCACAGCCATGACTCCTATTCAGAAGTAACATAGTTATCCTTTTAGCATGTGCGGTTTGGGGTCTTGTCCCGGCCGCTACATGTTGACACCTCACGAGCTTCAGGTCTTTGTATCTTCGCAGCCGAAGCACTCAACCACACACGTGCGCAGAAATTTGGCTACAGGCGGGAAGTGTGCTCTAACCCCCCAGAAGTTCTTCAATGCCAGACCATGCCTTCGATCTTCATGCTCAGGGCGAGCAAAGACTTCCATCGACCTTGGCTGTTGTTTGAAGGGTTTCCGTGAGTGGAGGTCCTGTCGAGTATGCCTCAAGTGTGTATCAGGAATCCGGCGCATGCACGAACAAAACAAGCAGTACACCGACAGGACTTGGCGATGCTCGCATGGAATCAAGCAGTAGATCCGACTGATCCGGTAGTTGACGTTCATGGCGTCATGCAGATGGTGTCGATGCTGTCGCATTCCAGATACCTGTTGCGGCGTGGACCTTCATAATCTTTTTGCATACAGCTCCTTGGCTGCTACAAAACCCTGCCACAGCCCAAGATCGCATGCTCACGCTGCATGATTTACTCAAGGTACGACCAAGTACATTGTCATCCGTGATGCCCGGCTTGGCCTCGCACTCGGGCCCTTGAAGATTCACTCCGGCATTGCGCTAATAGTATAATATAATGCAATATACTATGATATATTATAATATAATATAATATAATATAATATAATATAATATAATATAATATAATATAATATAATATAAGATAAGAAAATATAACAATATTTGTTTCACGACAGCATGGTGAATGTTGGATGCCTCCCAGGCTTGCTCCACTACACGCTGATGTTCTTCATTGTCGTGTACATACTGGTCTACCAGCTTATCGGCAACTTAGGCCACGGCCACGGGTTCTCATAGCCAAAAATTGGGTCACTGTCCTGCAGTATTGCCTGTGCAGGATACCTCAAGTTTAATGATGCGCAGAACACGGTGCGGCTGACACTGCAAGAGCCAACTGCTGGGTGCAACCCGAATGATACAGGTTGCAAGGCCCGGGTGCATGGTTTCACGGCATTGCTTTTCGTCCCAGTTCAGCTTGCTGTTGCCTCGATCGTTGCCAGGACAGCTTCGCACCGCTGAGCCACCTCCCATACTGTTGTGCGCAGAACTCCAGCTGCAAGACCAATGACGACGGCTCATGCTCGCTTCTCGTTCAGACTGGAGCCTGAAAAAGTGATTTTCGTAGAAGTCGGGTAAAGGGCATTGCAGTCGAAGCGCATTTGCAAGACCGGGAGGCGTCTGGAGCAATACGGGTTGCGGATGACTTCAGGTTGTCAATTACTTGCAAGTGTACCCTCTGATCAGCCATAGCCGACCTGACTGCACAATACAGTACGGAGCACCCGCAAAATCACTCACAGGCCGAAAACTGCAACAACAAAGCTGACATGAGCCACGCACCTGGCCCGAACGCATGCCCCCAGAGCTTCCTTCCCAGCTTCAACAAGAACCACAACCGCGACAAGTTACAGAACTACCCTTTTAGCACCCTTTTTGAAGCCCTTTTGGAAACACTTATAGATCCCTTTAAGAAACTCTAAGAGAGGGACCCTACTTTCGGGAAGTCGCAAGGAAGGCCTGGCACGAAAGCATCGTGTTGCTTTCAACACGACATCATCAGTTCGGCAGCTGAGGTCGGTAGCGCAAGGTTGAGGCATTTTAGGGTCTAGGGTTTAGGGTCTACGGTTGCTATATGAGCCAGGCTTCACGACTAAGTTGTGTAAGGCCATGCAATCCGAAAGTTCCTACTTTTTGCCTGGTGTCGGTACCCTACCCTCATCAACAACAAAATCAAGTTACTAGATCGTTTTACATCCCATTTGGAAGCATGGAGGTCACGCATGGTTGTTGACAACAAGTGATAAACAGAACAAGCAGCATTGCTGCTCTCATTGAGGATTCCGTTTTTAGTAGTACAACTGAAGGTTACAGGACCGGGGCAATTGAGTCAGGTGCGATTATCGACCTGCGTTCAAGGACCGCGAGTATTCAGGTTCGGCTCGTGGTACATTTGCATTGGGAAGTTTGTCGGGCCATATCGGGTTTCCGAAATGAGGTGTAAGTCCTTCTTTATTTGGACTTTGGTCGTGTTTGGATATCGGTGTTGGTTTTCAGGAAGGGGTCCTCATCAATACAGGATACGGTTTACTACCATATATGACACAGCGCTGCTGCCGCCCCTCCTCCCCCGTCCCATGATATCCTGCTTGGGTTCTTGATCTCTAGTCTCCCCCATCCTCCCATGCTGTGCGTGCTGCTGAGCAGTTAGCTGACTGGGGTAAGGGGGTAGTGTGTTCTAGAGAGGTATGGTTGCAGCCGCTTGTGTTAGTAACAATGTCATCGTTCTCTTGCTTGTTACGATATCAGAGGATCTGATGCTGCCCTTGTCTCCTTGCAAATGGTGCCCGTGTCCTTGCTCTGATGCGGTTTCCCCTTTTGTGCAGAAGCACTGGCGTCGTGCGGCACCCGTCGCCCCCGTCGTCCTCCCTCATGTGCTTTCAGCCGTCCCAGACTCGTTGTTTCTGCCTAGGATCTCAGAGCAAGAAGCCAGGTAACATAGGGGCCGCAATAGCTGGTGATAGTATCGCTTTAATTAAAGTACACCCGAAAAAACTAAGGCGCGGATAGTAAGCCCAAGAGACTTGTAAGTGAGGGTCCCGACATGTCGGAGGATTACAACTGCACCTGGATGTCGGGAACATCTGCGGCCGCTATACGTGAGAGCTCCATCGTAGTCTCGACATTTACACATGCAGCGCGGCGGCAGTTTACTCTCTCGGACATCATCTGGCCGGTGCTGTCGTTTTGCAAGAATGCCAGATGAAAGCATGCATGCTATGCTTTATTCCACCAATTCCATCATGATTGTTTTTGTCAGGCCCACTTGTAACCTATTTGCACTTAAGTATTCCCATGTTTCCCAGCGCCGTCTATGTCACTTCCCATCTCTGCTACAGCGGCCGACCACTTCTGCTGAGGCACTTGTAATCTGCCATGCGACACAAGCTCAGCTGTCTTATGATTGCTTCAGTTCTACATGTGCCCGATTCGTTCTGAGATGTCTATTGCCCCTTCAGGTTGTTCTTCGATCTCGTTGTGCTGGTGTCGGTTAAACTGAGGTACCAGCTTTTCCGAATTACTGTCTTCAGTGTACAGTTGACGGTAGATGCGAGAAGCCAAAGTCTCATCGTTCAATGTTGCCCTCCCCATCCCCCTCATAATTCAGCTCGAGGTCCATCACTGAAGCCCTCCCTATCATCGTCGGTATAGCCGATGTCAACAGCTGCAGTTTTGCCGCTTCAGCATCACCCTCACCAACATCAACATGGCAATGAGTACCACCGTGGGCATCCTCAATGATCGTCATCGCCACGGTGTCGGAGGTCACGTGTGGCTGCATATTCCTGTTCATCCTTCGTCACTCTCGTCCCCGTTGCCATTACAGCGGGCCCTGCCACCACCGTAATGTCATCAACCGTCTTCCTGCGTCTACCGCTTCCCTTTTCTCTCCAAGCCGCATCATTGCCAGGAATACACCATGACTTTGAACACCAGCTGCTTTACTTCATACCCAGCTGCTGCCGAAAGCTGCGATGAGCTGTATATTGTGCAGGAGAAGGCTGCGGGCTTGGACTTCAGAACCTTTGGGATCTGACGCGGATGATTCGCTTCTTTGGTTTAGAGATTTGGCGATTCAGGGGTCAATCTTCGGCCGGAAAGACGAAGAGAGAGAGAGAGAGAGAGAGAGAGAGTGCGAGAGCGAGAGCGAGAGCGAGAGCCAGAACGAGGGCAAGAGCGAGAACGAGAGAGTCACAGACACAGAGAGAGAGAGGTGTGTCTAAATGTGTGTGTGTGTGTGTATATATGTATATATATATACACATATATACATGTGCGCGAAACCTTTCTGTATAATGTGTTGCGCTGGGTCTGCTAGGGGAACGGGTTTAGATAGTTTAGATAGTTTGGGAGCCCGGGCGGAGCACCCAAACTATCTAAACTATCTACACCGGGAGGGTTCAGACAGTTTAGATAGTTTGGATAGTTTGGGGAGAGTCCCGGAGGGCCGGGCGGCGGGCCCGATTTAGATAGTTTACTTGGAAGTAGGGGGCTGGGCGGAGGGTCCAAACTGTCCAAACTATCTAAACTCGGTCAGTTTGTATAGTTTGGGGGGCTGGGCGCAGGGCCCAAACTATCCAAACTATCGTAAACAATCATCAGTATCTAAACCAGGGGGGTTTAGATAGTTTAGATAACTTGGGGGGCCGGGCGGAGTGCCCAAATTATCTTAACTATCTAAAGCGGGAGGGTTTAGATAGTTTCGATAGTTTGGGGGGCCGGGCGGAGGGCCAGGGGGTTTAGATGGTTTAGATAGTTTGGGGGACCAAGCGGAGGACCCAAACTATCTAAACTATCTAAACCGGGAGGGTTTAGATAGTTTAGATGGTTTGGGGGGCCGGGCGGAGGGCACACTATCTAAACTATCCAAGCTATCTAAACCAGGGGGTTTAAATAGTTTAGCTTGTTTTGGACCCGGACGGAGGGCCCAAACTATCTAAACAATCTAAACCAGGGGAGTTTAGATGGCTTAGCTAGTTTGGGGGACCGGGCGGAGTGCCGAAACTATCTAAACCGGGAGGATTTGAACAGTTTAAATAGTTTGGGAGGTCCCGCTGGTCTGGGCGGGGACGGTCAAGATAGTTTAGTTAACCCTTCCCGCCCCAGACCAGATAGTTTGGATAGTTTTGGGATTGGTTTGAGGCGAGAAGAGCAAGTTCATTTTCCCAGCGAATCTGGAAACATCTTCTCAAGTAGTAACGGAATTAAATACTCAAAATTTGATAACAATTACATTGGTTTGTCTAGTGTTTGTTTATTCTTAGATGTTGTTAACACTTCTACGACGTCATCAACCACGACATTCGGCTGAAGAAGGATTCGTTCCTATCTACACGAGCAAGGCGAAGTGCACGGCTCTGGTTCTCAATTTGGGAAGTTTTGCTCGCAATCGGAAGAGGACAGTGCCTTCTACCTACTCGGACGTCATCGATTACGACGATTCCGGTGAAAGTGCTGGTCTTCTGATAAAGAGCATCGCACAAGCCAAAGCACATTTGTTCTGGTTGCGCGAGGCCGGCGAGATTAACGCCCAGGAGCTCTCCTTCCTTCATCAACGAGGCTGGGAGACAGTGCGCAACCCGAACGGGGAGCTGTTAGTCGGATGCCGAACCAACAAGGTTGGGCCAAGGACGCAGCAAGTGGCAGGCTCTATACTGGTAGGGGTAGTCCATGCTCATCTTCCTCTCACGTACGTGATCGTTGACATCGTCTTCGGCAAGACCCTTCCACAAGGTTCACAAGGCTACCGACAACAAGTTCCTCCGTCGTCTTTAACAGCACCCCTCACTCGAGCTGGCATGAACTCTATGCGTGTCTGCGCGTTCCACCTTAACTTGAAGGTCGCGAGTGGGCAGGTCAGCGTTCCTCACGAGCGCTTGGCCTCTATGTTCCTGGACTATCAGGTGGACCTCATCGGGGCCGACCCCAACATGAGGCTCTACAGGTACTCAGATACCCGGCAAGAGTCGATGGACATCAAGGGAGGAATGTACCAGTCCACTCTCAGCTACTTTTTGGAAGCTTGGACAGCGAGTCCGAGATGCATGCCTTTGTGCATTCCGAAGGCACAACACATCTCTGCCAACAGCCTATGCCTCCTGAAGCAGCCTGAGGACACGCTGGGTCAGCCCTACAGAGACTGTCCACAGGTCAACTGGAACACTTTTCCAGGCTTGGACCCTTTCGTCGCCACCGTTCTGGAGTGGGGCCATTCTTTGTCCGATGACCAGTGGGCGACCGTTCCTTCAGTACAAGGTCAACGTCTTCGAGCGGTTGCTGAACTCCACCTCTGCCAACTACCTCCTGAACGACCGGGATTCTGACTCGCATACTGATCTTCTCATTGGTGTCAATGTGAATCAGTACACTGGTGGGAGAGCGAGGGCAACGAGCCGCAATCCCGACACGGTCCAGGAGAAGGCAGAGCGGAGGAAAGACCGAGCTCGTGTTTACACCGGCTCTCCACCGGGAGAGGTAGGTTCTGGCGCAGCCGCGTCTGGCTCTCAACGTCCAGCTGAACTTGCACATCCTCCTGGTGGGAACGCTACTT